GGGGGGGATCAAAATTGAATTTTAACTATTGTAGGGAAGGAAAGGGTTAATCAGGTTTCCCAAGGTAGCTTGCTGTTAAGGTGCCAGAAATACCTAGGGGAAAGAAAGACTTGCTAAAGATGGGACAATGGCACTGGTATTTTGCATTTGTTTCCAGGCTTTGAGATAGAACAAATGGGAGTCATTAGTGAAATGAGTTTAGGGAGTTCTAAACTAGCTGTCAGGCTGCCAAGCCCCAAGAAGTGCTATGTCAGCCATTAATTCTAGAGAGCACAGGATTACCCAAACCTAGGAAGGAATCCTGTAAACTTTAGAGTCAATTAAAGGAGGCTATTTCACTATAATATTTTCCACACTTATTACACCTCCTCATGGAACAGAGCCCACTTCTACCACAAATGAAATCTCTGGCGGCCTGGAGTGTGGCTGATGTCTAGCCAGCCGTAATGGGCTCTCCATGGGCTTGTCCACTGGCATCTCTGGGAAGCTCCTGCTAGAACAGCAGGCGGGACTGCAAGCTGTGGAGTGCATCATCCAGGCTTGGTGGCCCCAGGAAGGAGCAACCCTTTTCACCAAGTTCCTCGCACATCTGTTCGGGGTGTAATATTCTGTACCAGGAACACCCTTAACATGCAGAGGTGATGCCATGCCACCTTTTGAATTTGCTTTCCTCCTTGGTGTGCCTGACCCCCGATTTGTTGACATCCTGCTAGCAAACCCATGCTTTGTTAACCTCCTGGCTCAGGAGCATATCTTCAGTCCTGAGCTAAACCCTACTGAGGTCAGGGGGACTCTTCAAGAGGACTTCACTGGCTCAGGGTCCATCCCCTGGGAGACTGAAGATGATGAGAAGGAGTGATATCATACCTGTGCACTACCCCTCACCTGGGGTGGCTTCAAACAAAGCCTCCCATGCTGCAGACTAGAAGCTTTATAAAACTGATGGTTAATAACCTTCTAGGGGATCCAAGAGGTTTTGTTTAAAGTGTAACAGACTGGGTCAATGGACAAAATACCACCGGAGAGCAACCTGGAATTTACAGACTAATAATCTACTTCCATATACCGTGTCCCAGCCTTCAGGACACCCAAGCACTCGCCACAGTAAGTTACCTCCACAAGGAGGGCAAGCCCAAAGGCCCCTCAGGCCCCCCTTGCCTCTCTCCTGATGGCTATCACTTCTCATCGCCCCACAGGACGGCAGTAGCCGGGGATAAATTAAACCAAAAATCACATGGCTGTGAAATACAAATGAGGCAAAAAATGCCTTCACCCAACCAAGAGAGCTCTGTCTCCCCAACTGCGCCGGATACAAAGATCGTGAGCAAACAGGATAGAATGTCTTCTGCCTTTTGTGAAATGAAAATAAATGAAAGGATCTAAGGTTTCAGGTCACTGATCCTTCTCTTCCCTATCTGTACCATTTATCAGAGGTAGAATATAAAGGTTCCAGGTCCTTTTCTTTTTTTCGTCTGCACTTTAATGGTTGTTTTTTCTCCTTCCCCCTTTCATTTTCTGAATGAAAGGACCACTTAGGAACCTGTAAAGTAATAATAAGCTTATACCAGGAATATTGTTTCTCTGGGCCAGTACAAACCCTTTCTGAATAGGTTGAAGAGAATAAAGTAAAAATGCAATCTGTAAATTGATCAGTCTTTTAATTAGTTTATAGTGTGTTAAGAGATAATATTTTGCTCACATAGATTATTTGTTATCTAAAGATCTCAGAGCACTTTAGGAACATCAATTAAGCCTTAAAAAAAAACCCCAACCTTGGGAGATAGGTAAGCGTATTTAGATTAATTAGCATTGTTGTAAGCATTATTATTATATTTAATTTAGTCCAATAATTGACTTATCTATTAAGGGATTCTAATCCATCTGAGAAGGGATCAAATCCATCTGATTAAAAGAACTACATCGACTCAATTAATTCTACTAACTGACTTAATTTGCCATTTAATAGTTTGACACATGGGGCCAGATCTTGGCCCTGAAGAACGCATAAACCAAAAATTACATGCAGGAATTATTATGCCAGCAAAACTGTGCATTGCAGCACATGCGTTTTCCCTTGCACATGGCTTTTGCAAACCTGGATAAAACATTCCAGGGGTTTCCATAGGCCAAATTCCCCCAGCCTTGTGGTACCTTCTCTCTCCAAACCAGGGCTGACGGGTCATTTTGCTATACTCAGGGTGGCTGCCTGGAAATGAGCAATTCACTGCCTGAGAACTGCCACCTGCCCTCTTTTCTGGACATTCTCTTCTAGCAAGAGGTGAGAAGTTTTACAGAAGTCAATAAAACCTTGCAATAAAACTAACCTCCCTTCAAAGGCAGGACAACCCTCCCACACCAGCCATTTGGAAGCTGTATACGTGCAAGAAAAAAGAAAGAGAGAAAAAAGCATCTCTTCACTTGGACAGTTCTTTAACCAGTTGTGAATGTATGGGAGGAGAGTGGAAAGAGGTGCTAAAATGTTATTAGCTCCCTCACCCTTACAACTGGCTAGTGCTAATTGCTGGTGATGAGCACTGTGGACGCCAGCCACACAGAGCTTCCCCCATTAAGAGTGAGCTTGTGACACCCTTGCCTAATGTTACCTTCTCTTAATGGGACTGAGTTGTTGGTAGAATTCAGGGTTGTAGCCAGCTCACGGGCACCTTTTCCCACATCTCTTTTCTCAGACATTGGTTCTTGCTCGTCCTCCCAAAGCCTTCCCCAGGCTGCAATCCTTAGGACCTCAATCCACATCACCTCCAGCATCATCTCTGCCAGTGGGGACAGGGTTAAAACAGTGGAGAAGCAGCAGATCGATGTGGCCAAGACAGGAGCTGAGCACTCCCCAATGCTGAGCGTGGCTCTGACCCACCGTGCCAGCATAGGCACTAGAAGAGGGGAGAAGAGAAAAAGGGCAGAAGGAAACCCAGCCATCTGCTGCATGAGAGGAAAGCTGTCCTCCTTCAGAGGAGAATCCAACCAGCAAGACAGAGAAGTTCATCAAAAGTTTGCAACTGTTGAGATCCCCAGACCTGGTTTAAGCCTCTCTCTGGTCTTGATCAAAGGTTACTCCATAATAATGCCGCGGGGGGAGGGGTTCCCAGCACATAATGAATCCTGTGTCATTGTCTTTGTATCCAGTTTTGGCTGTAACACAGATGGTTCTCACTTCAGTAACTCCAACATCTCTCCCCCCTTCATTATCACAGCTAGGAGCTCTGTGTGGTCACATCCTGGACCTCTGTGCCGCATCTCACTGCCTCCCCAGTTATCATGCTCAAGTGTTCCCGTGCCAGGCAAGATGATGAACAACAGATTTCCATAACCTTTCAGAACAGCTAGGGATGGGACGGCTTTGCAGCTTGACGCCTCAAGGAGTTTATTAGGAGGCGCTGGGGAGGGAGCAGGCGGGGTGTCAGCAAGTGACCGGAGCACTCTGGGTTGTTCCAAGTATGCCAGCAACCAGAAGGAGGAGAGGATTTGGTGGCAATAAGAGACACAGGCACTGGGGAACTCCCCAGACAGGCAATCTGAGGCTCTGCAATTGTGCAGCATCGCCACCGGTCACGAGCAAGCACACTCCTGTGGGAGGATTTGTTGTTCAGACACAATTGCATATGTATGAAGGGGACAAGATGGGCTTTGACACATAAATTAGCACTTGTCAGCTGCTCGCGGGCACACTTCCCTGCTGCACCCCATTGTAAATGCTGCCTTCTTTTAGAAGGAGGAAAACGACATCATGTTACCTGACAGTCGCTGTGGGCAGGAGCGTTTCCTGGGAAGCCAGCAGCCAGCACACAGAGACTGGTTTACATATCAAACCTTAAGAGGATGAATGCAATAAAGTGACACAATAATTAGCAGCCAACTGGCACTTTCCACTCCTGTTTTATCTGGAAATTTGGGCATGACAAAGGACAAAGTTGATGAGATCTCAGGGCAGGTCTTTTTCTGAGATATGGGGTGACTGCACACAGCAACCCTCCACAACAGCCGTGGGGGTTCATTTCACACCAGCCAGGTGCTGTCTCTGCTGTCACCTCCCATGGCATCATGCTGGCAGCAGCTGCCCCCCATGCCAGGCACAGTGTGTACCTCATCCTGCCTGAAGCTCCCTGAGGGAACAACCATTCCCACAGTGTGAACTGCCATCATCGTAGCCCACCTCCACTTCACCAGTGCTGCATGTGAAGTCAGCTTCACGTGAAGGTGATGTCAGCTAAGGCACACACACACACCTCTGCAGCAACATGTGAGCACACAGGCTGTATATCCATAAAAGAAAAAGGACAAGTTCTCTGAACAGACCTAAAAGCCTTCCAGCAACCAACCTGAGCAAAAACATCTCTGCCACAGCCATCCCAGAACATACCAGAATTACAGTTTTTTCATAATTCAGCCTGCTAGCAGCATTTGTAGCATGTTGGTTGTGTGCAGATCATAACGAGAGTAATTGAACAGGGTGTTAGCCCAGGGGATAGTTCAATTATTCAAGTTCCTGCAGGATCCACATGCCCTGAGATTCAACTTACACTCAGAGTACTCTCAAAGCTCCAAAGTCTGCTTAATTCCAGTTCAAACCCAATATCCCTCTATCTAGAAAGATGAGAGTGCTTCACTGAAGCACTGGATTCACCCAACTTGAGCACAGAGTTCATGGGGAAAGAACATCCCCCATTACCAACCTGGGTATCATGTATGAATTCCAGTCAACAACACTGAGCTCATCCATTCGGCAGAAAAAGATTTTTCCTTTCAAGCACCATCACACACTAATAAATTAGAGCATGACACGACTGTGGGAACTGCCTGCAGCTGGGAGTTGGGCTGACAGCCTTTTCTGACACAACAAATGTTCTTAACCTGGACAGGTTTTTTCCCCTTTTATCCTGTTCTTTTATTGCTCTTCTTATTTTTCTCCCCAGAGGTTCTCAGCCCAACATCTAGGACTAAAGCCTTTGACCCACAGGCTGGGGGATCCCAGTAAATATTCTTACCATATTTATCTCCATCTTCTCCTTTGGCACTGATCCTCCTGCCAAGCACTTGGATGTGTTTCCCACTTGTCCTGCTGTAGAGCTGATAGAGCCGAAGCTGCTTCCTGCTCACGTCGTCCCTCGCTCGCGTCTGGTTCTCCACGTGTATCCGAAAATCTACATTCTCCTCGGCAGCAAACATCTGGGATCGGATGGGGAGAGGGGAGAGAACAGAACAGACCATGAGACAAAACAAGCATCTTGGACAGAAAGACCACATACCAACCTTCCAATGGGCACATGGCTCAAGAGGACTCTAATTTGCCGCCCTTCTCTTGACAGCTGCGATATGAGGCACTCAACAGGTAACTCTAACCAGAGCTGGCTCTCAACAGAAAGCCATACCTGGGGTTTTACAATCAAACTGTGGGGCTTTTCTTGAGTAAAAACTTCCGGTCAGTCCTGTTTTGATTTAATCCTGGTCAGTCACGCTGGCCATAAATTAGGCTCTCCATTGCATGAGCGTAGATTCTACCAGGATACATGGACACATATGGGAGGGGATGGATAACTCCATTTCAGAGATTTTGTGCTTCACCTTCCGCAGCTGCATTGATTCTCCGATTAACTGCAGGTAAGAAGTCAATGGAAAAAACCTATTTATGCTGACATTAGCAGACTTGACTCTAGCTTTGCACAGGCATAAAATCTACTATAATAAAAGTGTCATATGTACATGGGCACTCTCCAGCATAACTTTTTTGCCAGCTCTGCTTTTCAGTGAAGCCAGCTCACTGGTGACTATCCATGGATGCGCCTCTGTCTGCTTCAACAGGGCCACGGCTTGGGGAGAGATCACAAGGACCAGTGAGAGCCAAACCAGCACGTCCAGCCACAAGGCCAGTATCAACATGGGTCTGCTTGCATGGGCCATTGCATCTCTTTTTTCTGCCAACGGATTAAATTAACCTTAGTTCACTACAGCCTTAAAGTACTACCAGAAACTTTCTCTGACACATCTGCCCTTCTCTGGAGGTCTTGCTTCTTATCTTAACTGTTCCCAAGAAACACCGAAACAGGATTCCTGCTTTTGCTTCCAGAGGGTCATCCTGCCTTGCCCAAGGTTAGAGGACCAGACAACCCAGACCTTCTCAGGGAAGGCTGAGCAGCACACACCCCCAAAAGCACTTCAGACCCAAACAATATGAAAGCCCAGAAATGGCTCCATGATCTGTCCCCACTGGCATCCGCACCACAACATCCATGCTGCCCACTCCAAACTCACAGATGGACAATATTTTGGTGGCAGACTCCCTTCATGGGACAATAAATCAGTTGGAAACCAAAACCAAAAGATTGAGTGGCACACACACCACACGATAGGCAATTTTTAACCTGATCAAGACAAAGACCAGTCAAAGTCTACCCGTTGTTGGTAAGCTATAAAGCTGTGTACCACTTGCATGTAAGAGACAAAATCCACCATAAAATAAGAATCACATGGGACTTTAATGACGCCTAGGTTTGGGACTGGCAGAGGACCAACAGTTACTCCTAGCAGGGTTACTGCTTCTCCTCCTAACACATTCCCATTACAGCACACTTGTCCTCCTAACCTAGCATTCTGATATATTGGTGAGGGGATGGAGCTGGCAATGCAAATGAGAAACGGTCAATAAATCCTCATTCAGGCCTATTCCAGGCTAAAATGCATAAGAGCAAGTGGCCACAATACACAAAAGAGCCCCACTTCAGTCTCCTGCATATGTCATCTCATACCAGCAAATATTTTGAAGCCAAATACTCCCTGAAAGTCAAAACCTCAAAAAGAACTTTTTAGCATTTCAAATTATTGAGTAGACACACAGATCAGCAGCAGGAGGAAAACTTTGGGCAGGCAGTGCTGCTTAGCACCAGACCTTCACTAAGCAACCCAAACAAAAACATTATATTCAACACAGTGGCAACAGCAATGAGGTTCACAGGGATGTTGCTGCCTTTATGAAATTCTGGGATTATGCTATTTGAATCCCAAGTCCTAGAAGGGAAAGCGATTTAACTCTCCCATTTTACTGTCAGAAGTCAGGAGGAGGCTGCTGCACAATTAATTGTAGCGATATTTCTCCTCTCAGAAAACCAAGGGGATGCCCGTCTCAGGCCACCAAGAAGCCATGACCCAACGCTGAGGATGCAAGTGGAGAAGCAGGCTGGTACCTGCAAGGAGGGCACTGCGGGATGCTGACCAAGCTCATCCCCATTACTAAGCCAGGCTCTACTCGCCCTCCTCTCCCCAGGCACCATGGCTGTGTCAGAGCACAGCAAGCAGGACTTGGCTTTAGACATGAATAATATCCATTTCTTCTTTCTTCTTCCTACAGATCTTCTTACTTTCTTTTCAAATTATATTGTTGCAAAGGATGCTGAACTACTAAACCCAGAGATGTTCAAGTAAAACATTGAGAGCCTGCCTCGTACCCACAAAAGCAAGACTATTTGCAGTTAAGATTCTGGCTCCATCATTTTAAGATTTAAAACAGATTTTAAATCAAGATGACGTAGCTACATTGCTTTCACCACATGTTAATGAATTTCACATTTTCCTAGGAAAGGAGAAAAAAAAAAAGACAAAACAGGTGGGATCTGAAGCGGGGGGAAGGGCAGGTTGCTTTGCTTTCCTGGAAACTTCAAACAGAACAGGCAATCTGTTTTCCAAAACATGTTTTAATTCTCTATTTTAGTTGTCTCTCGAGCACCCACACCACAGGGGCCCCAGCTGCAGTGCTTGGGTGGACCATAGAGCACCCATGGAGCCATCCTGTGCTGTGATCAGCAACCAGCATGGCACAAACACACCTGCACACATTTGTCACAGTTCTCCTGCCCCAAATCAGCTAATTAAGCATTTCCTACCTTCTCAAGAAGGGCATGCTGCAGCCCACAGGGATGACATCTCCTCCTGCCCAGCCAGCATCACCTACAACCCCAACAACTTGTCCAAGCCCAGTGGTAGCTGGATACAGGGATCAGAGGGAACACAAATCCCACAAATAAAGTCAGCCCAAGTGTGTACCACTCCATCACTTCTGCAGCAACAGTCCAGCTCTAACCCAGGGAAAGAAATCCCGAAGGAGGAACACGCTACAGGCTGTTCTTGCAGCTGACTCGCTCCCTGGTCAAGAAGCCGTGGTCCAGAGCAGCAGTGAAACCACCAGGATTTAGCTGCCTGCTTAAAGATAAGCTCAGACTTAACCACTCTGTTGAAACAGGATGCTCTGCTGGAGTGTGGCCAAGGTGAGTTAGCTGTGCCAGCCTGGGCTGCATCTGGCCTGCAGCAGAGCATCAATACTCTAAAATAAAATTTCATGCAGTGTCGATTTCATGATATAAAACCTATTTGATCATCGTTGAAATCCATTCTCACAGTTTCCCTCCCCTAAAGAGTATATTCCCTCAAGCAGCTAACTTTGCTGAGATAAGAAAGTCCATTTATATATACCATAAGAGAGACTCTCTCATAAATCTCAAAAAAAATTAGTAACATATGCCTCCCTTGGTAACACTCACTGAAGAAGGTCACCTAAAACCAAGTCCATCCACCCCCAAACACATTTCTATAACAATCACAACCACACCAAAACGAATGCAGAAAAGTCTTTAGTCCCATTCCCACAGGAATACTTAAAGGATTTCACTTTTGTTCACCAAAGCAATAGGAAATCTCTTTCTTCTCACTATTAATATATTATTACTGCATGTACAAACATGATACACAAAATCACAACCTGGGGTTTTTTTGCCTTTCATTCTGACCATCCACACATCCATGCTGTACATAGCAAAATGTAAAGATTCTGGATCCAGAGTTCATTCAGCACAACAGGTCCCTGAAATGAACAGCAGCTTGGACCTTCTAGCTCCAAACTAGCAACATACCTTGTGGGATGCCCCCTGGGGATAGGAAAAGAATTTCCTGCATCACTCTATCTCCTCCAGCATTTTGGTGGGATTTGGGATTGTACTGTGGACTATTTTGCAAATATATGCAACTGGTATGGGTCACTCTCTATGCAGGACAACTTCAGCATCTCAGGATAGTAGGTTTCATGTAACTCCATCTCATTCTTTGCCAACAGTTTATGGTCTGCAAAATCCCATTTGTTAAAACAGAGCATCAAATTTGGTTTAATTTTTATTCTTATTGGGTTTTTTTTCCAATCAGTTCCTCACCCTTTTATTATTTACTTGTTACTATGTCTTTCAGTGATAACATACAGCTACACAGACATCATAATATACAGTTGGCAATAAATATACAGAGCTAGGCAAGTGAATAAACAACATCCCTTTTAAAAACAACCATCACCTCAAGAACTGAAGCATCAGAAATGCCTCACTCCTGAGAAGCAGCAGCTCTCCCACTCTCCTGTTGCCCAGTCATTCAAGGTAGGAGTATTTAGTCCTACCTCCTTTCCAAACAGTCACAGAAACCAGAAATGACATCTGTCTTCAGACATAACCCACACTGGAAGATTTTCAAGTGCTTTTTTTGCTGATTGATTCTGAAGCAATGAGTGGATTTCATTTTCAACGTCTTTACAGCAATCCTTCAGCTTAAAGAATGACTCTCCTATTTGTGAAATCCCAGGTGGAGGGCAAGGGAAAGACCATTTTGCTGATGCAGCCTAAGGTTTCACCATTAAGTAATCCAAGAAATGCTCAAGAACAGCAAAAGCCTCTGACAGCAGCACTGTGATGTTAGTCCTACACAAGCTTGTGCCACATCTCTGCAAACACCAATGCCTTGTTGTGAATGGAAAGCAATCACACCCCGCCAAGGTCAATGAAACCTTCATGGTGCCAAGCCACGTTTACGGAATTTGGCTTTCCACCTGACCTGCCTCTACACACTTCAACTCTTCTATTTTAGTCTTTCCAGTAAAAGGGGATGTTAATCTGTTATTGTTCATGCCATAAAGCATTACAGCATAAGATGTCCAAGGCCCACAGCATGGCCAAGTTAGCTGGGAGCTGGACTTCAGAATTTCCTGATGTTTTTGCTATTTATCCTATGAAGCCTCCAAGCCTCATCAGAGAGCAAACCATATGTCATTTCCCAAACTGAACTCGGAAAACAAAATCCCTGTCACTGAGGGCCGTAACAATTGCACAAGATAAACAAATCAAGCTATTCAAAGTCCTTTC